AGATAAACAATAAATAGCAAAGTGCCAGAATATGACTGTAGTTGTCTCGGCTAGGAGTATGTGGGTTAGGACCCATGGAGATGAGATGGATGAGCAATGAGGATGGATAGTTTATAACATTTTATCAAGAGTTAAGGAAAGAATGCAGGGTTATCAGGATATAGAAATTTGTAGTAAATTTTTTATGATAGGCTATATGTAGTCCATACTCATGGTTTATGGATTCTTTAGTGGAAAATTCACCTCTTCACTAAATTTCTTGTAACCTCAATATCAACACACCATGAAGTCATTCAGAAACTCCAACAGTACTGACTCAAATATGAGTTTCCTGCAGAGATAGATTTTTTTCACCCCTTTTAGCATAGTTGAAGCTGCCAGCCTCTATCCCGCTTAAATGCTATTACTGCCACATTTCTCACAACTTTTTTTGTTTTCTTGGCAATTTCACTGTGTAAAGTAGTAACAAAAACAGTGCCGAAAGTGTGTTTCTTTTATATAAGAGGACTGTACTTTTTCACAGATAGAATACAACAGGTGTGAGTATTAATATTGATGATATCAACAGGATTCAATATTAATGAAGTCCTTCTGTTAATTGACCCTCTCTCTCTCTGTCAGTTGTGGGGTTAAACTTTGAGCCTGGGCACTGTCCCTCAGCTCTTCAGCTCAAGGCTAGCACTCTACCACTTGAGTCACAGCACCATTTCCAATTAGACTGTTTTTAAATACAAATAAGATAAGACATATATTAATAGGATGACAAATGTGTATCCAGAAATCCCAGAAATCTGAACCTGCTGGTTCTCTTCTGGGAGCAATGGTTTGCTACTCACTAATTCAGTTTTTATGACAACTTCATTGAAAAATAACTACTGAGCATATAGAAAATCAGCAATGCATGTGGTAGAATATTAGACCTGGAACTGCACTGGAAATAATCAAATTTGGTGCTATTATTGTGGAGAAAGAACTTAGGTCCAATTATATGAAGCACCCAAAGTTGCAAACATATTACTGAGAGTGGATCAGAACTGGGAATGTTCATTTCCTCTTCAATAGTTTCTCATTTCTCAGAAATATGCCTTTAAAGAAGTTATTTTTATAGACAGAATATTTGGGTCAAATAATTAGTCAAAAAATTACCCTCCCTTTAATTGCATGGATAGTCTATGATAGACCTACATGAACAATCACCCATGTGATGTTGAAACTGGGTTTTTGTACCCTAAGCCCAGAGTCCAGGAGTCTTGTTAGTTTTATTCACTCACTCCCACATGTGAAATACAGACAAAGAATGTTTATTACCTAGCAATTGTGGGAAGACAGCCTGTTAGTTCATCTTCAGCCATCTTCTGAGCTACAGACATTTGGCTTCACATTAAATGTAAAGAATTGGAGGCAGAGGTAAGAAAGGTTATGCATAGTTAAAAGAGTCTCAAATCTCAGGTATGGCCTGATTGACTATTATCTCAGTCTTTGTCCTTGGAGGATTTCCAGAGAAGTTATTACCCTATTCTGGAACATAATAGGAATGAGAGGGTCTCCTGAGTTTTTAGCTGATCACTTTAAGATTATAAGAAGTCATTGCTTCTGTGATGGACAGATTGTCCTTCTTGCAAGATATTTATCACTGAATCTTGTCTTTCTTGGAACCCAAGGTTATTGTAAAGTTGACTACAGCAGAGAGCAGATTAGATCCAAGAGCAGAGAGACAGATTTGGGAGACTTTTAGTTAATTCACACAGTCTAGCAAAAGCACCTCTTACAAAGTGTGGTCTCTGCTCAACTTTCCAATTCTCATTAAGGTACATTCCAAGCTTATTTGTCTGTAGTCTAAACCTAGATAGACTCAGAATCCAAGTCTTTGAAAAATGATAAGTTTGGTAAGACACATACCTGTGCTGGGGAAATACTACCCAAATCAGCAGCCTTCTGAGAAGCCATGATCTAACATAGAATTTAACTGTCTAGATTTGCCAAGCATATTTGTGCTGGTATTTGTTTGGGTACATAAAAGTTTATTGGAACTCAGCCACGTTTACTTACTTGTGAAAAAGGGAAGTTTTTATGCCTCAAGGTGAAGTCGCATATTTGTGAAAGAGACAGTGGCCCTTCATGTTGACTTTCTTGTCTTCTGTAGAAAAAGTTTTATGAATTTCAGTTTAGCAGAAAGTGTAATATAGTGCCAATTTCCATGGCAATGGTCTGGGATGACAACTACTGCACATTTGTGTGTTATTCTGCTCTTAAGCTATGTCTTGTGATAATATTCTTCTCTTAAGTGTCTATATGACACGTGAGGATAATCCTCTGGTGTTTGGTGTCATGCAAAAATCTGAATCAATTTTACTAAAGTGAGTCATAGGCTCATCTTAGCATTTGCTGAATTACATGACAGGTATTGAACTTTCTGATTCAAAGACCACACTAGTGAGAATCTGAATCCACAATGCTTGTCCTCAGCTGCTGTCAACACTACCAGAATCAACTATGATTGTGGATGTCAGAGCTGACATTCCAAATCAGCAACAAGACAGAATTCATTTATCAAGTGTTTTTCTTGTTGCACAAGCATATATGAGATGCTTTTATTTAGCTTAGTGACATTTGCCACCAAGTACTGTCAAAACAAGGTGTCTAAACAAATGCTGATTGCACACTCATCTCCCCATGATAATGAATGCTAAATATTCAGAGGTAATTATGCGATAATCTGAAAACACACACAGTGACTTTTGCTTAATGGAAATACTTGGGAAAGAGTTTTCATTTTGCAAGGTGATGCTTTCATGAAAAGTAGGCTATAGTAAACATTCTAGCTGAGAATCTATGATATTCTTATTGTTGAAATTGGTATTACCTGGCTCCTAGGTACAGTTTTCTTGAATTTGAAAACTCTTTTCTTGTCTTTTTGTTTGTTTGTTGGATATGGGGCTTGAACTCTGGGCTTGGGCTCTGTCCCTCAGCTCTTCAGCTCAAAGATAGCATTCTACAAAGTGAGCCACAGCACTACATCTGGTTTTCTGATGGTTAGTTGGAGGTATGAGTCTTATAGACTTTCCTGCCCGGGCTGACTTTGAACCATGATCCTCAGATCTCAGCCTTCTGAGTAGCTAGGATTTTAACGTGAGCCAGCAGAGCTTGGCTAAAAATCTTTTCTTAATTAGAGAATTGTGACTCAACATGTCATTTTAGTTGATTTTTTACTTTCATGGACATCATTACAAAGAAGATTTAGATATTTTTTATGGGCTGTGGGGCTTTAACTCTGGGCCTAGACGCTGCATGAGCTCTTCGCTTAAGGCTAGCATTCTACCACTTGAGACACAGTGCCACTTCTGGTTTTCTGGTGGTTAATTGGAGAAAAGAGTCTCACCAACTTTCCTGCCAGGGCTGGCTTTGAACTGTGATTCTCAGATCTCAACCTCCTGAGTAGCTAGGTTTACAGGCATAAGTCACTGGCACCTGGCTGAGAATAAATATTTTTTTAATGAAGTAGCTATCTTAGAATCTATTAGGTATAGTATATAGAGAAACAGTAGTAGTAGGGGGAAGTAAACACTGTAGAACAGAAAATATTTTATGTGCCTTTTTATTAATGGTACTGAGATTTGAACTCAAATCTCATGCTTGATATGTTTGGTAGGTGGGCAATCTACTGTTTGAGTCATGTCTGCAAGGACTGTTGGAATAGTAGAAGCTAATGAAAAGAAATCACACACATGGGTGAGGATTGTAGCAACATGAGGTTGAATTGCCATATAGAGGAGAATGGCAAGATCATGAATCACAAATGAGAATGAAGATACACAAATAAGCTGTGCTGTATTTATTATATCAGTTATGAGGTATAATTTTTTATTACTTTATGGTTGTTTTAGAGGTGCTCTACAGTGGGGTTACCTTTACATGTGCCAGGTAATAAGTACATTTCCTTGCTTTTGCATAGTATCACTTGTTCCTTCATTCTTGCCTATTTTCTCCCTGTCATCTCCACCCACAAGTTGCGTGGTTCACTTTCATGTCCAGTGTAGCCAGTGAGCTCTGGTACTGCTTAATTTTTCACCTGTTTTCCATTGATTTTGTGCTCTCTCCCCACTTTCCCTCAGATGTGCACATGTATCCACTGTATATGAGGTAAAGAATACAGAGGAAAGACAAATTAAGAAAAGTTTCTTTGTTTTCATATCTTTGGAGTTTGTTTCAGTATGCATATTATTTATATACATATGAAGAGGTGCTTGGGTATTACAATTTTGTGATTTTCTCCTAAGACTATCTTTGGTCTCACTGTATGTGAGTGTCTAGAATTCTGTGTAATTTGTCATGTCCTGTTGTGATTAAAATCTAATTTCCATGGATGAGGGAGAACATGCATCTCTCTGATCTTAGCTTATAGCACTCAACATGATTTGTTCAAGTTCTATCCATTTTCCTGCAAATAACATTATTTCTAATGGATGTGTAAAATTCCACTGTATGTAGGTACCACAGTTTTGGATCCACTCATCTATTGTGGGACATCTGGTTGTTTCTGTATCTTGGCTATTGTGAATAGTGCAGCAATGAACATGGGTGTTCAGGTGTCCTTGTCATATCCTGGTTCATGATGCTCAGGATAGATGTCTAGGAGTGGTATGGCTGGGTCAAAAGGGAGATCTGTTTTCCAGCGTGGTTGTATTAGTTTACATTCCCACCAGGGGTGCAATGTGGTTCCTTTTTCTCTGCATCCCTGCCAGCATTTGTTGATGTCAGAGTTCAATATATTGGCCAGTCTAACTTAGGTAAGATGGTATCTCAGAGTTGTTTTGATTTGCATTTCTTTATTGCCTAGGATGATGAACATTTTCTCATGTGTTTCTTTGCCAGTCTTACCTTCGTCTGAGAAGTTTTTCCTTAGCTCCTTTGCCCATTTAATGATTGGTTTGTGAGATTTGGGAGGAGTTAGTTTCTTGAGCTCCTTATATAAATTGGATAGTAGGTCATTGTTGATGTACTGCTGGTAAAGATCTTTTCCCATTTAGTTGGTTGTCTTTCTAGTTTAGTAGCTATTTCCTTAGCTGTGCAGACACTTTTTACCTTAATGTAGTTCCATTTGTCTAGTCTCTCTCCTATCTGTTGTGCCCTGGGACTCTATTCAGGAAGTTCCTGCCTGTACCTGTAAGTTCTAATGTCTCTCCTACTTTCTCTTGCAGTAGTTTCAGAGTTTTGGGTCTGATATTGAGGTCTTTAATTCATGATCAATTTTAAATGATGGCATATGTGTAAGCAGTATAAGAAACATTAAGAAGGGATGCTGGAAATGCCTTGGTATTGAGCAGGATGAGCTCTTTGAGAAGAAACAACAAATATGAAGATGAAGAAGGTTATCTAATGTAGGTGATATACGATAAGAGGTCGCCTATGTACATTGCTTTGAATGTTTACAGTAGATCATTGGACTACAGGTTACAGTTGAAAGTTATCATGTATAAATCACTGAGATTCCTAAAAACATTTGCAGTGATGAGCAGGAAGCTTTCTACAGCCGTTATCCTCTAGTCACAGGAGCCCTTGGCTGAGCCCCTGCTATGAAGCCACTGTCAATCTTGGCAGTCTGGTAGCTGAAAACATTACAGCATGTGTCAGTGAAAAACCAACCCTTAGCTAGAAAATAACGCCACAAGGTGTTGCTCTGCTGCAGGTCTATTGCTCAGTTCTGACCAATATGGATTTTAAAGGTCAGAAAGAAATGAATTCGATGTCTTGCTTTATCCTTTATTGTTTGTGACTTTGAGCACTCAGTTTTACTCAACATGTAAATGTAAATAACTCACAATGTTAGCATTTTGATTAAACAAATATGTGAAATATCTTGCATAAACTAAGTTCTAATTAAAAAGTTGAACAGCTGGACACTGGTGGCTCATGCCTGTAATCCTAGCTACTCAGGAGGCTGAGCTCAAGGTTTATGGCTCAAAACAATTTGGATAGGAAAGTCCATGAGACTCTTATCTCCAATTACCTACCAATAAACAGGAAGTGGTGCTATGGCTTAAAGGGGTAGAGCAGTAGCTTTGAGCAAAGAGCTCAGGGACAGTGCTCAGGAACAGAGTTCATGCCCATGAATAACCAAAAAGCATAGTTAAACAAACAGAGAATTTTACCCTTTGAATAGCTATTTTTTTATAGGTTAATTATCTCAGGCTTAATAAGCAAACATTAGAGATGTCTGAAGAACTTGATTTCTAGACACCTACAGCTATATTCTATTGATAGCCTAAAGGTCCGAATTCACCTTTCTCTTCAATATATGAAGGGTTTTTACAATGAGCACGTCTGCTTTCTGTAGCTTTTTGTTATTGTTGTTGTTGTTGGTCATGGGGTTTGAACTCTGGGCCTGGTGCTGTCCCTGAACTCTTTAGCTCAAGGCAAGTGCCCTACCATTTGAGCCACAGAGCCACTTACGGTGTTCTGCTGGTTAATTGGAGATGAGTATCATGGACTTTCCTACCAAGGCTGGCTTTGAACCCTGATTCTCAGGTCTCAGCCTCCTGAGTGATAGGATTACAGGTATGAGCTGTGGGTGCCTGTAGCTTTATCTAGAATCTATTAAGGAGATGTGATTTAAGATGAGAAATGAGCAAAAATTATTTATTAGACTCTAATAATTAATTTTCTGGCCTTGGCAGAGACACTTATTTATGCATCATGGCATCTCATCAGATGTAGTTTTAAATCTGTACAAGAACCTAAATGATGGCTTAGTAAAATGTGAATTAATGCATAATTTTTTGCCTCTAATTCTCTGAAAATGGGCTTCAAATGTTTGCCACCCTTTGCTCCAGATTAGTGGTACCTGATACACTGATACATAAAGTTTGTGACTAATTGAGAAAACCAAATGGAAGTTGATCTAAAAGTTTCTGACCCTTAGGATTCATATGAAGTCCACAAAGTTGCCCCTTAAAAGAAAAGAAGAAATAAACAGGATTTTATCTATAAAAAATAAGTCATGGGATTTCTAGGAGATTAAAATTGCACTTAAATTCTACAGGGCTTTTAGAAAATATTCATCTCTACCTCAAGTAATAAATACTTTTGACTACATCAGTCATTCTTATTAATCATTCTTACTAATTTAGAGCGATTTAAGGTTGTTTCCTTAACTCTGACTCCTTAAGAGAGTTCTTTTGTCCTATGTTCATGGTTTGCAAAATGGTGATTTCATCGTATTTTCATTTTTTGATTTTATTATATTTTTTGGTCAGTCCTGGGGCTTGAACTCAGGGCCTGGGCACTGTCCCCGAGCCTCTGTGTTCAAGGTTAGCACTCTACCAGTTTGAGCCACAGTGTCACTTCATCATATTTTTAAATAGAGAACATTTATTAGAATGTATTAGGAATATATTTGAAGCCATTTTCTAGGACAGGAACTCATGTGAACCTAAATTTATGGAAACCTAGTGACTCTCTTATATGTCCTTTGAGAAAAATACTATCGATCATTAACATTAAGTTGGAGAGTGAGTTAGAGGATCCCATGTAATCACATTAAGTGCAGAACAGCTTCATGATAAACTACTTACCATTGTCAAATATACCTCTACAGTATACTTGTTCTCAGCTGCAAAATATCATCACTGAATACCCAACATTTTATGGAGTGTACTTTGGGACACATGGATCTACCATCAATGAGAAACACATATAGAGGTGTGAGAGTTTTTATAGTTTACTTTTACCAGATTTATTGGTGTGACATCCTAAATTGATGACACTGTTAAATCTGTATTCTACATCATTATAAGTTCTTCTAACTGTGAAGTGCACTGTATTTCCTTATGGTAAGAACAGAAGCATGGTACTATGTCTCTGTAATAAGTGGGTTTGTTTGTTTTCCCTGATCCTGGGACTTACACTCAGTGCTATCCCTGAACTCTTTTGCTCAAGACTAGTGTTCTACCACTACCACCTGAATCACACATTCACTTCTGGCTTTTTTTTGGTGATTAATTGCCGGTAAGAATCTCATGGGCTTTCTTGTCCAGACTGTCTTTGAATCATGATCCGCAGATCTCAGCTTCCTGAGTAGCTAGGATTACAGTCATGAGCCACTGATGCCCAACTAATATACAATCTACTTATTTTAATTTATGTTATCTTTAAGTAGTTGTACAAAGGGTTTAAATTCAGCATGCCAATTTATAAATGCAATGCATCTTTGTTAATACCCATTGTTTAAGTAAAGGCAGAAGTTAGTTTTCTGTTAGACTGTCTGTAGAATGTAGCTCATACATAATCCATTTGACATTTTAAAGTTTTACCTTTAGCATCTTTTTTTATCCCATGATTTCTTCAAATATTTTACAACAGGAGTTGAAATGCAAAGCACATGTTTTCTCTTTTCCCAACATCTAGGCCCATCTAGGTTACTTGGCATATTGTTTCCAGTACTATATTTAGATGACTTTTTAATTTCCAGACTGCATAATAATATAGGCTGTTGACTTAAATGTGTTTGAATAGATAATTGCCCTATCAAGTCCACTTTGCATTGGATTGCTTTTCCCACATAGTTACTTTTTTTCAAATTATCATCATCTGCAATTTAATGAAAGCACCCTTCCTCTGTGACATTAATATATTCTGAGAACAATCTAGATCCTAGATTCTTCCCACTGCCTGTAATGTTCTAAAGAGTTTTATCAAGCCAGGCTCAGTTGTCTCACAAATACAATCTCAGGCAGCTGAGAATGGGAGGATACCAATTCAAAGCTAGCACAGGCTCGAAAGACCATGAGATTCTTATCTCTAGCTAAGTACCAAAGAACAGAAATGGAGCTGTTGGCCAGCTGGAAGATCATTAGCCTTGACTGAAACCGCTAAGAATAGAGATCAGGCCCTGACACCAAGCTCTGGTACCAGGAAAACAAAGTTTCATCAAGAAACCCATTGACTAATCAGTCTAAATGCTGTGAACCTGGAACATTACAACATTTTATACCATAAATTCATGCAGAGGTCTTGTCTCTAACACCATTTCAATGGATGCCCTTGTAAGAGAACGTCAGTCACCCAACAAATAGGGATATAGGAGGACCCATTGCAACAATGAGTTGTATAAGACGTTATGTCTAAAAACGAACTTTACAACTTTGGCGGGTGCGGGGGGGGGGGGGGGGGGGGGGGGGGGGGGGGGGATGTGTGAGGATGAGGGGAGGGGAAGTGGGAAGGGATGGGAAGGGGAAACAAAGGAGGAGGCAGCAATGCTTGATAAGAAATGTATTCATTGCCTTGCCCATGCAATTGTAACCCCTCTGTATGGTATTTTCACAATAAAAAAAATCATTTTAGTATGTCTTGGACACGCTCCATAGCTTAGTACCAAAATATATTTTGATATCGACTGATACTTTATGACAGACCACATATAATATCCATTACTTCTTTCTTAAACACTTTCATTTTCTATGATATTAAGAATTAAATTAACTAATTTGTCATTAATCATTAATTCTACTTCCTGAGATCATGAATCCTCAGGATTCAGCTGAATATCTTCTGGATCAAAGCTTTATTAATTCTGTTTATTATAACATTTATGAAATCACTAATAGTGTTCTATCATTGTGACATAATTCAGTAAGCAGAGATTTTCTGACTTAATGGTATATAATAGTGCTGAATCTAATTCAGTCATGATCTGATAAAAGGTATGATTTTAATGTCCCCACTGTTCAGAGCTCAGTGCTTTGCAACTGGGAAGGGTCTGGTGGTTATAGTAGTGTCAGAATAATATCACCTTATCAGTTGTGTTTATAAAAGAGCTCCCAGATACCTTGTGATACTGGATTAACCTAATTGTTTTGCAGTTATTTGTTAACATAAATTTATACCTGAAGAAATGCTTAAGCGACTTTCCCAAGGACATGATAAGGGTAGGACCATATTTATTTCATATGGGGTATTATATATTATTTAGTACATAGTATAAACTTAATGTATATTTTGGACTGAAAGAATGAATTTATACTCAAACGAGTCTCTTTAAAATATTCTTTCCATTCAGATGCTTGCCTAGCTTCCATCTTACTGTACTGTTTTCATTAGATAGTAAATTCTGAAAGGAAAAATAAGTATAAGTACTTTAGAAATGCAGCTAGTTTCTGGTGCTTCACATCTGTAATCCTACCTGCTCTGGAAGCTAAAATCAGAAAGTCA